TTCGTTTTCAAGTACCCGGTTTTTTCGACCGGGTACTAGGTACCAAGTTTGAACCCAGCATGGAGGATTAACTACCCGGTACCCGGTTTTTTCTCCAAACCCTACAAATACTTATTCTTATTAGTGCTATTCTATGAAGCGCGAAGAGCTGGGGGAATATTATTTTGTGTTTCCGAACCATGCATAATGGATGGGGGAGAATGGAACGGGGGCGAAATGGAAGAGGGGCGAAATGGGAAACAGACAATTTGGGAAAGGGGCAAAATGGGAAGGGGCGAAATGGGACGGGGCCAAATGAGAATAAATGAGGGGCGAAATGGGAAGGGGCAAAGTTGGAAGGGGCGAAATGGGAAGACACACATTTCTTTTCAGCCCTGAGTTCAGGTGAACAGGAAGATAATGTGAGTATCAGGATGATGTTTTATGTTTCCTGAAGCTTGAAGATACTGTTATCTTCAATTAGTGGATATTCATTAACATGCATGAAAAACTTTCTTCCGAAATCCAAATAAAAACACTTCGTTGGAATTTTAGTTATGCGTGAATAGAATTACGGACTTTTTTCAAGCAGGTGTATGGTTCGGGGGCACGGATTTCTGTTCTTGAGTGGATAAATGTGTTCGGTAAAGAGAAAATGGTGGTGCCCGGCATAAGAGTTCACGTTCGCGACGTGAGAATCGTGGTTCGAGCGCAACGAACGTAGTTCGCGAGGTCAGAACTGATGTTCGCTTTGATGGAAGTCTAGGAGGGCTGTTATGGGAATCTTCAAGATAAAAATTTAAACTTTATAAAAATTTTATTCTACTTTATCTTGTTGTTAATTGTTTTTATCTTTAGCTCGAACTTTTATATCATGCACAATATATCCTATTGTTATTTCAAACTGTTTTACTTTTTATTTCTTGCACTTAAAATTATGTATATCCTTTGGTACCTGTTACACTTCCGGGTCTAACGAAGCATTTTTGTAACGAAGGTTAGCGAAAAAATTGTGTCCACACTGGCTTTATCCAACCCTACTAGTACTGTAGCAATTATTTGGTGTTACACTGCACTTGAAATGCCTCTTTGCTTGTGCGCATTACTCATCTGCCCCGCCCACTTTTTTATAAACATTTTTATTCTTTTAATATAAATCATTGATCATATCAAAAATCACTTTAAAACTATATTTTAACAATTCTCCACAAAAACGACTAGTTCAAAATTCTCGGGAAAATAAAACCAAATGAATGTGATCATGCCGTTCAGATGTCCATATATATTCCCCATCGCTACGATTTTTATATATTTCAGTGAATACCATTACAAGTATTCTTTTCATTATTCTATCATTTCTCTTGGAAACATGTGGAATAAGTAGAGGTTAATTACTAGGCGGGATTGGATATGGGGTTTATACAGAGCACCAGTATGTAATATCGTATAAAAACGTTCAATTCCCGAATGGTCTTCTCAGCTATACCATGATATTGCGTGATTCAAATAGTGAAGACATTATTAAATATCTCGGTTTTCGGCTGGTGGTCTAACATGACCAATTCATTTTAATATGAATATTACCCGCCACTATACCGTTCACTTTTGAATGAGTTAGCCATACAATAGTATATGTTAATCCAGAAGCCGTCAGTTGAATTTGAAAATGACGCAAATGGGAAGAAACCTGTGTGCAGAGTCTAGTGACGTGTCGCAAAAAGGTCGCGCACGCATTGTTACACATTTTTGCCTTTTAACACCACAGAATGTGACGTTTTGTGAGAAAAATGTACAATCCTGACCCAATCCTTTCGTCCTCCACATTTGCCTCTATATCTCAAAATATTTAAGGCTAATAACTCTGATATCGTATATGTATTAACAATGGGATAGGAGCATCATAAAACACGAATCAATTGATATTTTAGGTGAAATAAATATACGTGTTGCTGTGCTTGAAAATAGGCGAATGGCTTAAATTAGCCCTATTTTAATGAATTTTGAAAACCTTTCGTCCTCCACTTTTCCACATACAACAGAAAACACATACTTTTGCGAACAAAATCAACTATTTATTAATAAACTAGAGTTTAAGAGCAAAATAATCATGTATGATTTATTAAAAACTGATCTCGTATTTTTTGTTTAATGTACACCTGAAAAGTTGAAGGTTACAAAAAATGAGCAAAAAATGTCGCTGTCAAAGTCAACAGATTCTATTTTCAAACTCTATGACATCACAATATGGGACGCTTACTAAAATTCATCCTTTGAAATAAAACTTCTATCTACCTTTATCAAGACGAAAAATAAGTATAATAGTCATATATTGTTTGAGTTATGAGCGTTTAAAGACGAAAAATAATTCAAAATGTAACGTGTCAACAGGAAATATTTGCCAGATGTTTTGGTAAAAAACTCTTTTTTAAAAAAGAACGCGCAAGAATCGTGAACGGAGTGTAGTTGATCTAAAAACTTCATCGGAACAGCTTTAAAATGATATATAACTTTAATTAGAATATTATCTTATAATCCGGGGAATCAAAGTTACATTCACGCGATGCCCTTAAAAAACAAATGCGCCACCTTTTTGCGACACGTCAGTTATAAACTACCCTCTGCCTTGTCTAGACTAAATTACAGTTTAGCAGCACCGCCCCAAAGATTGTTGCCTGTGACAGCCTACCTAATAAATCATTCCAAATCTACCACGCTGACCCTTTCTCAACCAATCAGCGAGGTCAAAGGAACATTTGCTAAATACGTGCTCATTAACTATGCGGTGGAAATGAAGAGGAAATGATCTTATGGAAAGTCGTCCGTATTTCGACGACGAACTCTGATTGGCTCGGTGAGATCAGAGATTTATCACGGTGCCCATGTCAAGCTGCGCGCCTACTTAGGCGCGCAGTTTGTTTCGATCACAAACTGCGTGCCTAAGAACATTGCATCATTTAAGTTGGAGTCTGTATTTTGAAACGCAATTTAAAGATATTTATCCTGCATTGTTTTCTTGTTCAATGCGTTCATTCTGTGGCGAATATACGAATCTTGCAAATACTAGCAAAAACTATGTGCAAATGAATCTAAGTTTTAAAACATAAGCAGATGAATGGCATTTTCGTCACTGATTTAACGGGAATTTATACGTAAATCGATCTAGCACTTTAAACATAAATGACAAATACTTTAGACTCGTTTTATATTTAATTCCTTACACATTTATCATGTATAATTCAAAATATTTCGAGATAAAACAGATAATCAGGAGGTTAAAAAGAAATAAATCACAAACTGCGCGCCTATTTTAGCCAGAAATTACAAACTGTGCGCATACACTATTAAAACTACATATTATCATTGGAATTTCTACAGAGGCACGTGTAGGTGTTTTTCATGTAGCTTTGGAAATTTTGCTTTATCGTCAGGTTTTATGAGATTTTCATATTAAAAATCAAAATGTATAATAGAAGTGACAATTAAGTTGGGAACGAAAAAAACTTTTATTTTCAGATCACCATCTTGGTGGATGGACTCTCATAGTGTTTCAATTATGGGGTTCTACTATTAGACACATATGTGCCTTGTATGGCGCTTATGTTTTCTAATAATACAAAACAAGCTTGGATAGGCAAGCAGTTTGGAAATATTAGGCACGCGGTTTGGGAAATACATGTGAATATAGGCGCGCAGTTTGACAAGAAAAATGTTTAAATCACGTTTATGGCGTATTAGCGTTTTGAACACAAACTTTGCTGATTTAATCAGATGGAGTGATCCTATATATTCTAGCATACACAGACACAATGGCTGAATAAACGGCAAATGACGATAAAAAGACATAGATATAACTTTACAGTGTAAATTTTGAACACAGAAGTTACTTAAGACCCTTATATTGAGATAACTAGGTTTACATCGGGAAAAACATTGAGTACTATAAGTAAATTAAGTTCATCTTCACAGAATGGTACTATCTTTAGAACGAGACTAACCTTGTATTTTTCGTATTTTGGCTCTTTTTGGGAGTCGTGTCCTCCCCGTCTCGCATTTTGAAATATGCGCGCAGTTTGTCAGAGTTTCAAACTGCGTACCTAGTAGGCACGCTGCTTGACATGGGCATCGTGTTTATTGTAAACTGAAAGAGTGACGACGAAGCTCTCTTGTGAAGTCGAACGAATGCAGGGGGGGGGGGTTAGAAGCCCGGGTAGAAAAAACTTGAATATCAGTTGTAAGCAACGTCTTAGGACACATCAATAATTCAGACAACAATTGTAAATGTTTGGACGGGAATTTGGTTTTGAGGTTGGTCCAAACTCAACAAGAAACAATCTTGGCCAGTCCGGAGAGCGTTCCTACTCTACCTGACGGCTGATGGAATAACATGCTATTTTATGACCAACTCATTCAAATATGAATGATATATTGGCGGGTAATGTTCATATTCAAATGAATTGGTCATGAACTAGTAAGTTAAACCACCAGCCGAAAACCGATGTATTTAATGGCTACATTATTTGAATATATCAATATCAATATATGTGTACTGAATTATCACATTCATCTGGTAATTTTGAACTAGTCGTTATCTGTCCTGAATTAGAATACACTTTAAAAGTTGGATTTTTGATATGAGCATTGATTTATTAAAAGAATAAAAATAAATAAGTGGGTGGGGCAGCTGAGTAATGCGCACGCGCAACTAAGTATTTTAAGTGCAGTGTAACACCAAATGATTGCTTCGTTAGGGTTGGATAAAGCCAGTGTGGACACAATGTTTTCGCTAACCTTCGTTACAAAAATGCTTCGTTAGACCCGGAAGTGTAACAGGTACCAAAGGATATACATAATTTTAAGTGCAAGAAATAAAAAGTAAACTCAACCCGGCAATGTAACAGGTACCATTGGCACAACATTGCTTCGTTACGAAGCTTTTCGTCAAAATACTTCGTAACGAAGCAATTTAACCATCCAGTGTAACAGGGGTCATTGTAAAGAATGCATTACTAAACGAGTATTACCATTGTCATTACCCTTTTCTTGAAGATCGCCCTTTGCATCAACCATATTTTGAAGTTCACCTTGTTTAGCTATGGCCGCTTCTCCTGCAGTTGTGTCATCTTCCTTCTTCAACAAGTCTTGTTCAATACCTTAATTTGTGTAGCAGAGTTATTTATGCATTCATTGTTAATTTATCATTTCAACCTGATCATGAAATTGACATAGACACACCCGTTATAAGTCATAAATAAACTGATTTATAAGTACGCTTAAAAGTGCGTTGCGAAATCCCTATTGACTTAAAAAAGACCCAAAGAGAACAACCCAGTTCCCTTCTTGTTCCAATCGGTCCATATCGTAAATATTTGTCCCTCAGTATAATACATGGTAAATACTCACTTGACTTGATCGTATCTGTTGCTTCAGTTCGTTTGGTTTCAGTAACATCTCTATTCTGCTGTTCTTCCTAGATTTTGAATTAAGAACATATAGCTAATATTATTATTCTGTGACATTTTATCCGAACGAAGTTCGGTAGGGATATATAATGAAGCCCTCTGTCCGTCAGTCAGTCCATTCGTCAGACCGTCCGAAAAATAACTCGAATACTAGTGGACAGATTTTCTTAATATTTGGTGGAAAGATGTGAATTGGTAAATAGATAGTTTTATCCTCATGGCCTTTATACTTGGAGCCAGTTATATATTTGATATATAGCAAAACAAATATCTCTTTACATGTATATTACATGTTTACTAATGTATCACTGTACATAAATAACTTATCCTTTTTAATTTGATGTGAAAATTATTGTACAGCACATTAGAAATGGTGGATAAAATAGACAATTTTTTTCAAGATGCCGCTTTATTTTTGCAAAAATCTTATGTTTTTCATTTTAACCCAAAGTAATGAATATTTGTATGAATATTTTGTTTCACAACATCTATCCATTTCACATATATTCCGTGTTTCCTACCCTGGCCCCCAAGGGCCATTTAGTACTTAGTATGTGGGTCGGGAAGCAGGAATTTCGTTTAATTTGAGATCTTTCTGGAGTATAGCTTTATTGAGTTTTCTGATTCGTGCCTATGAAAATGTAAAATGGCTGCATAGAGCAGTAATTCGCTATTACTAAGAGACCTCTTCAAAATATGGTTGCGTGATACTACAGGGTGGGCCAAAAAACCACCCCCCTAGCCATTACTCCTGATAAATATTTATTTTTTAACATGTACACCAACAATGATATATCATTTTAAAGATAATTTAATTTGCAACAAAATGATATATAATAGCACTATTTTCAACCACCCCATATCGAAATATAACCAATTATGTGACATAGGGGTCAAAAAACACCTTTTCAATTTTCATCAATTTTGCGAACAAAAGCCTATTTCTACCAAATTTTACTGGTCAGTTAAAAATTGCAACATTGTCATGAGTCTTTCATAATTGTATATTATATATTGTTTTCATTCAGTTTTTGAACCATGCATGCTCAATAAACATGTGTATGCTTATAAAACAAATTAATTTCTTCTTCAGTCTGTTCAAATATGGCCCGATAGACCCACCCCCCTTAAGACGCGGAAGCCATTGGTTGATGGCATAATTGATGGATGTATGCGGAAGTACCATTCAACTACTAGTTATTCTTTCTTTTAGTTCCTCTATATCCCTGACAGGCATCTTTAAATACCAACTGTTCTAGATACCCCCAGGTGTGGTAATCAACATTATTGGCATCTGGACTGCCAGTAAGCCATTTGTCCGGGCTAGAGATGGTTTCATTTTGAGTCTCCAAAAACTCCAGGGTAGCATTGAACCTGTGTGATGAAGCACTTTCCTATCAAAAATTAAATTTCTATCACATGTTTTTTATATCCTTGAGGAGTCCTTTTTAACACCTCATGTCATTAACATTCAGAGTATATTTTTGCTCCTGGTTCAACAAAAACAGGGCCTATACGGTCTTTCCTTTTTGGGAAACATCGAGTGGACACCACTACCCTTTCAGAAAAATGTCATCTCGATTTGAGTAGCCTTTTATCGCAAATGTCCCTATTCTTGCTTACTGATATATAGAGTCTATCCTGTTGATTACATGTATAGTACTTGGGGCATTTAGAACAGTTGGTCTATGAAGATCACTAGCCTATCAGGGATGTAGACAAACTGAAAGAATGAATAATTACGAGTTCGATGGTACTTCCACAGGGATCCATCAATTATACGAATGGCTTTCGGTTCTTTAGCGAATAATCCAATCAGAGGATTGGTCCGGGGGGTGGGTCTATTGAGCCATATTTGGACAGATTTAAGAAGAAATTAATTTGTTTTATAAGCATACACATGTTTATTGAGCATGAATGGTTCAAAACCTGAATGAAAACAATATCTAATAGCCAATAATGAAAGACTGATGACAATGTTGCAATTTTTAACTGAACAGTAAATTTTGGGAGAAATAGGCTATTATTCGCAAAATCGATGAAAATTGAAAAGGTGTTTTTTCACCCCCATGTCACATAAATGGTTATATCTCGAGCCAGGGTTGTTGAAAATTGTTCTATTAAATATCATTTTGTTGCAAATTAAATTATCCTTAAAATGATATATCATTGTTGGTGTACATGTTAGAAAATAAATATTTATCAGGAGTAACGGCTAGGGGGGTGGTTTTTTTTGGCCCACCCTGTATATTAGATCCAACTATTGTATTGTCTAAGATTTTTGTTTTTGAAACTTTTAAGTCACCTAAATGGAAATCCTGACATATTTCGAATAAGCATGTCTTTAACATCTGTCAATAGATGTCAGTAGATGATGTGACATATAAAAAAAATTAGATTTTATTCTATGGAGGGCAATACCTGTTCATCTTTCAATTATTTTTCGCAGTATGCATTGCCCGCAGCCCGTAGGGTCAGGGAAATACATGCTGCAAAGATCATTGAAAGTGCAAAGGCATGAATGAATATTTGTTTCATTATATCATTGTTAGACAAGATCTATGATCACATTTTGCATTTCAAAAAAATATTAAATATTTACTTTTACCTGTGAACATTTATTCTAATCAATAAAACATGTCATCAACCCATATATTATCAATATGCCATCAACCAATGTATCATCAATATGTCATCAACCCATATATTATCAATATGTCATCAATCCATATATTACCAATATGTCATCAACCCATATATTATCAATATGTCATCAACTCATATATTACCAATATGTCATCAACCCATATATTATCAATATGTCATCAACCCATATATTATCAATATGTCATCAACCCATATATTATCAATATGTCATCAACCCATATATTATCAATGTGTCATCAACCCATATATTATCAATATGTCATCAACTCATATATTATCAATATGTCATCAACCCATATATTATCAATATGTCATCAACCCATATATATATCATCAATATGTCATCAACCCATATATTATCAATATGTCATCAACCCATATATTATCAATATGTCATCAACCCATATATTATCAATATGTCATCAACCCATATATCATCAATACGTCATCAACCCATATATATAATCAATACGTCATCAACCCATATATCATCAATATGTCATCAACCCATATATTATCAATATGTCATCAACCCATATATTATCAATATGTCATCAACCCATATATTATCAATATGTCATCACCCCATATATCATCAATATGTCATCAACCCATATATTATCAATATGTCATCAACCCATATATTATCAATATGTCATCAACCCATATATTATCAATATGTCATCAATCCATATATTATCAATACGTTATCAACCCATATATTATCAATACGTCATCAACCCATATATTATCAATATGTCATCAACCCATATATCATCAATATGTCATCAACCCATATATTATCAATATGTCATCAACCCATATATTATCAATATGTCATCAACCCATATATTATCAATATGTCTTCAACCCATATATCATCAATACGTCATCAACCCATATATATATAATCAATACGTCATCAACCCATATATCATCAATATGTCATCAACCCATATATCATCAATACGTCATCACCCCATATATCATCAATATGTAATCAACCCATATATTATCAATATGTCATCAACCCATATATTATCAATATGTCATCAACTCATATATTATCAATATGTCATCAATCCATATATTATCAACCCATATATTATCAATATGTCATCAACCCATATATCATCAATATGACATCAACCCATATATTATCAATATGTCATCAACCCATATATTATCAATATATCATCAACCCATATATTATCAATATGTCATCAACCCATATATTATCAATATGTCATCAACCCATATATTCCTAATACGTCATCAACCCATATATTATCAATACGTCACGAACACATATATTATCAATACGTCATCAACCCATATATTATCAATATGTCATCAACCCATATATTATCAATACGTCATCAAACCATATATTATCAATATGTCATCAACCCATATATTATCAATGTGTCATCAACCCATTTATTATCAATATGTCATCAACCCATATATTATCATTATGTTATCAACCGATATATTATCAATATATCATCAACCGTTATATTATCAATACGTCATCAACCCATATATTATCAATATGTCATCAACCCATATATTATCAATACGTCATCAACCCATATATCATCAATATGTCATCAACCCTTATATTATCAATATGTAATCAACCCATATATTATCAATATGTCATCAACCCATATATTATCAATATGTCATCAACCCATATATTATCAATACGTCATCAACACATATATTATCAATATGTCATCAACCCATATATTATCAATATGTCATCAACCCATATATTATCAATATGTCATCAACCCAGATGTGTCGAATTTTCTTGTAGAAATTGCCACATCCCCCTTCGCTCATTCTCTCCGATCACCAGGCATTGGATTGTCCGTTTATCCCATGGGAAATCTTAACCCAGTGAAAAATGTTAAACATTAAAAAAAAAAAGATTTCGAAAAAAGTTTTTGAAAAAAAATTTGAAGGAAAAAAATGTGAAAGAAAAAAATTGACAAAAAATCATTGAAAAAATCTAAACCATTGAATATCACTTTTGAAACCATCGAATATCACTTTTTGAGAAGTGATATTCGATGGTTTGAGAAGTGAATTCGATGGTTTGGGGATTTTTTGCTAAAATATGATATCTTGATCCACATATCAAATATATCTTCACCTGATATTCGATATATATCCTTGTAACCATATATGATATTATACGAGCAATCTACAAATTGCAAAATGATTTTTTGTTGTTCAATTACGAAAGTTAGCACTTGTGTGCCAGTGAGTAAATAAGAAGAATATGCTCGAAAAATGTTGAAAAATTATTTAGCGAATGCTTTGCTGAGGATGACGTACTCAAAATAAATATGCTAAAATGTGCATTCGTAATTACGTCATACGAACATCAGCGCGTAAGCTCCTGACCGTGTGTAACTAGTTCGTATAGACACACCATTTTTGATATGAACATTTATTCATTAAACGTTATTTATTCAAATGTTTTACTATACAGGCGTTTAGGAAGTACTTAAAGTTTTTAGAGAATTTTAACACAGTGGATTGAATATTAATCCTATGGTTTTTCAAAAATATCAATTATATCCACTGATGGATATCAATATCTTAACTCATTCGCTCCGCTCACTCGTAAAGATATCAATATCCATTCATGGAGATAAATGATATTTTTTCAAAACCATAGGATATTTATAGGATATCCTATGATTTTGAGGAATATCATTTTTATCTACGAGGTGATATTGATATCTGCACGAACGAGCGAAGCGAACGAGTGCATATATCAATATCACATTTTGCAAATTGTGACCAATCTCTTGGAATAGAAACCTCGTCTAGTGATATTTAGAGGTCACTTCTTTTTATGTTTACACTATACAGTGCGTTCAATAAGTACTAATAAAAATGCTGTAACTTTTTGTTTTTTCATATAGCTTACTAATTTTTCTAGTGTACATTGTTGAGTATTATACTGATATACTGTGGAGGTTACAGGACTGTGCTCCAACAGGAAGGTGGTGCTAGTTTGAGCCAAAGGTGGTAAGTGGTGAATCAGGTCTGCACGAAAAAAAACACTTAAATTGTTAATATTGCTCCTAAGTCAATTGCTTGCGCAATTGACTAGGAGAGCTTTTGGTCACCCCTGTCTTGGTTCATCTTCAACTGACTTTCTCCCTCTTCGAAATAGCGGTACCAACGATATATGCCAGGGTTAGATATAGTGTCCTTTCCAAAAGCTTGATGAATGTCCTTTATTGTATCCTGTTTTGATTTATCTAGGAGTATATGGAACTTGGTGCTGCTTCTAATTTGACGCTAAATATTACAAATAATTTGTTCAGCAGTCATGTTTTTGATGACATTAAAAACTACTCTGTGACTAACAATGATGACACGACCAGTGACGATGAAGCCAACAGTCAAATACCCCCTGGACAAAAAGCGTGGGAAGACTTGTATGACTTACTCACTGAATTACCCAAAGACGTCTACACGGAACGCCTTTTAGCCCAACCAGGAATATCAGTGGAGTTATTTCGAGATGCTTTATTCGAAAAAGCAATGTCTTTAAGGCCTGCGGATTGTCCCAGATTTAAACTTATTCAACGCAAAGGAGGAAAAAGCGAAGATAGACGCTACAAACTTGCGAGTGATTGCTTCACACTATACCAGTTCATAGAGGGAAATTCGACTGCAATTGCATCCGTGTTCAGCAAAACCCCCTTTAATCGAGACTCAACACAAGCGTCCCAAAACCCACTCACCCAGGATTCTGACGCACCGTCTACGCGATCACGTGCCCATGATACCGCTTCATCACATTTCTCAATGATGGAAACTATGATGTCGCATATGCTTAACATTAAAGAGACGTGTAACGAAATGTCTAACACTCTGACTGATCAAAACAACAGAATTATTAAACTTCGAAAGGAAAACATGTCCCTCAGAGAAAAGGAGCAAGAACTACGCAACTCTGAATACAAAGCTAAAATAGAACTTAAGCTTTTACAAACGGTCGTGAATGAAAAAAACATAATCATAACTGAATTGAAAGACCAACTGTCTCGATTTAAAAACATCGATGGTAAACTTGGAAACATTAACAAAACTGTTAACAAAATCCAAAGTAATACTGAAATAGAGCATACTGCACATGTAGATCTCATTAATAAAGTACAGCACATGTTATCTACCATTCCTGCTATACCCCCTTCCCGAAGCAGGTACCTTTCGGATGCTTCTAATACCATTGAAGATACGACAAGTCAACGTCGCCTAAGTGAACCTGCCCTACTCCACACCAACCAAGCTCCGTGTAAACCAGCCACGAAACCTACAACTCAAGGGGCTTCAAACGTTCCACAAGATAGCCCATCAGCAGAACAACTGAGTAACGACACAGAGTTTAACCATGGCCAACTCGAAGACTCGAATGACTCTGCTTACTCCCATGACCCTTTAAACAAGCATGAACAAACCGACAAGGCCCGTTGCTCTTCTGACGTCAATAAACCTGAAGAGGGCCAACATACAGTACGTTCCCTCCCCAAAGATACGCTGATACCCGTATCATCACCCAACTCCCATTTTCAACACGACAGAGCAACATCAACTAGAGTGCATTCCAATTCGACCAGTGGTCCAAAAGGCCAGCCACAATCGCCTGATGATTACGCCCAGAAACGACGAATTACTTCACCCAAACCTGTGCTTAATGGCATTTGGATGCGGGCAGTTAGAAGTCATGAGTCGTTGCAAGAACAAACCCCACCCACAAGCGCTGACGGATTCTGCGGTGTTCCCTTTAAAAAACGGCCGAAAGTCAAATGGTTTGTCCTATCACGAGTGCAAGCAACTGATCTTACATTTAACGAGATTAAACACAAAATAATTTCATTTGCTCGTAGAAAACATGTGAACATAACATTTGTGAGATCTCTCAAGTATCATGAACAGACGCGATACAATCCTGCATGGTACACACTCAGAATAAATGTTGACGTTAGAGACTATAACTACATGCTAGATGATGACCAGTTCTGGCCATCACACATTCATTGCAGGGAATGGCAAACCAGAGACCTTAAAAGTGAATCCTATGATGGACCAGCACCCGACAAACTATGGGGGGATCAATCCCACTTTACACTATTTTATATTTGATTTATTGTCTCACATATTACGTAATGTCATTGACAACTCTTAAAGTATTGTCATGGAATGTTCAAGGTATTATGCACGGCACACCATATCTGTGTGAAAAGCTTCGACTTATAGATATATGTATTCTTCAAGAACACTGGTTGTATCCAGACAACATTCAGTATATTAATTCTATTGATTCTGATTTTGACAGCGTTGCTGTATGTGATAATGATTTATCAATAGATTCTGCTAGAAGATATCGCGGTAAAGGCGGTGTAGCTATTTTGTTTCGCAAAAATCTCAAACAGATCTCTGTTTTAAATTACAATAGCGACAGGATTTGTGCGATACAGATTAGCTTTCCAGCTGAATTAGTATATTTAATAGGTGTATATCTTCCATGCAGTAATATTTCAATATTGACATATAAAGAATACTTATGCGAATTACAAAATATCTGTGATGAACTTTCTAGCAAGGGTACTGTTATACTCTGTGGTGACTTTAACTGCCATCTGTCCTCCAAATTAGGCCCAAGGCACATCGGTAAGATAAACGATCGAGGGAATTATGTTGAGCAATTTATAGAAAACTCAGGTTTTGTTTGTGTTAACATGCAGAGTCGAACCACAGGTCCTATTTATACATATTGTAGTTGTGACTATAGTCACAAGACATGTCTTGACTTCATCATGCTACCACAAACAAAGTATGACTTGGTTAAGAGTTGTGCAGTTATAGACGACCACGAACTCAACGTATCCAACCACAGCCCTATTTTTATGGAACTAAATGTAGCGCCGTTTGGCCACCTATTTAAGCTTTGCCCAGTTCCTATAACCAAATGGAATTTGGCAACTGCAAATGATATTTCTAACTACCGTAATCTGGTAAGAGATGGTCTCAAACATATTGATATAAAATCAGCAACATGTGAAAACGATATCTCAACTCTCACTGATGAAATAGCTATGTGCTTGAGAACATCTGCTGATAGAACTATTCCTAAGACAACTTTTAAACACTTCCTGAATCCTTTTTGGAAATACGATAACGTTAAAAACCTACACAAATCTATGAAAATCGCAAGGTCTATATGGGTTAATCAAGGCAAAACAAGAGACGCTACCAATATATTCTTTAGGAATTATAAAAATGCCAAAAGATTATTTAGGAGCGAGCTCAGGAAAGCCAAATTAAACTATGAACGGGAAAACTTTTCTAAAATTGAACAAGCTGCTGAGCTTGAAATTGGCGATTTTTATAAATATGTTAGGAACTCTAAGAGGCTCAAAAAAGAGACCCATGAATTGCTAATAAACAATGAAATCATTCGTGATCCTGATGCTGTGCGTGAAGCTTGGGCAAACTATTATGAGCAATTGGGAACACCTGCTGAGTTTCCTCACTTTAACAATACATTTCAACAAGAAATTGAACATGAATTTGCTCAATGTCAAAAAGATTCATATCATAATAGGGAAAACGCTCTCTCTTCACCCATTACATCACAAGACGTATATGACGTCATATCTGGATTTGCATGTGGTAAAGCACCCGGTTATGACCTTGTGTGCAATGAGCATTTTAAGCACGGTGGTAGCTTACTTATCAGGGTAATTACTGACTTATTCAACAAGATGATCAATCTTGAGTGTATACCTCCCAACCATAAGATTGGCACTATCATATCATTGCACAAAGGTAAGACAAAAGACAAACGCTCTCAATCTAACTACCGTGGTTTAACCCTAACAACGGTGATTAGTAAAATCTGGGACTATATCATACTTGATCGAAATAAGTTTATTCTCGACAAAATGAATACACCCCATAGCTTACAATTTGCTACAAGTAAAGGAGGTGGCAGCCAAATGGCTACTTACGTCTTAAAGGAAACTATTTTACATTTTAATGAACGAAACACCACCATATTCGCAGGGTTCCTAGATAATGTTCGGGCCTATGATTATCTCTGGAGAACAGGGCTTTTTGTGAAATTATTTCGATTAGGAATCAACTCCAAATCTTGGAGACTTATTGTCCAGAGTTATAGCAATACTACTGCAAGAGTTTTATATGATGGGAACTATTCTCGAGAATTCCTTGTCGATCAAGGATGTGGTCAAGGCCGAATTTGCGCTCATCGTGGTGGTTCATGATATTCATAGATGAGCTAATCTTAGAACTCTGCGAATCTCCATATGGTGCACGTTTAGCCAATGATCTTATTATACCTGCTGTTCTGGTAGCAGATGATACAACAGTATTGTCTAGTACTCTCAATGGGTTACAGCATCTATTAGATATTGTGTTTACCTATAGTTGTAAGTGGCGTCTAGTCTACCACTCTGGCTTACAAGAACCATGTAAAAGTGCCATTATAATCTTTGGAAAGAGTATTCTTACATCCGAAATACCATACTGGAACTTGGGTGGAGAACCTTTGCCAACCAAGTCACAAGTGACTTATGTTGGAAACACTTTAGACAAGAAATTAACCTCGAAACCTAATACAACAGATGCACGTATTAAGGCTAGGAAAATATTTAACTCTCTGTGTGGTATTGGAATGTATAAATACGGGCTTAACCCAATCACAAGTTCTAACATTTGGAAGCGTTTTATAATGCCTTCAGCATTCTATGGTGCCGAGTTATGGTACGACATATCCAAAACAGAAATGAATGAAATGGAAATTGCTCAAAAATACGTTGTGAAGCGCTTTCAAGGTTTTGAAAAGAGAACACCTAGTGTAATGGCTATTAGCAGTATGGGAATATGGACAATAAGTTCCTTTATCAGTAAAATGAAATTCCTTTTTCTAGGGAGATTGTTAAGATCCAATAGGAATTCAACACAAAAACAAATGTTTTTATGTAGGCTCAGTAGCTTAATATCTAGAGAATGCCAATTTAAAGTGAACAAAGGCTTTTTACAAGACCTTAAAAATCTAAACCTTCCTGCCTTGTTTGAAACAATTACAAACTACATTGACCATGGCATATACATTCAGAGCAAGGATATCTGGAAATTTGTTGTTATTCACCTTTCCACAAAGTAAAGAAAATCTATAATTTCCGGCGCGCTGATTGGTTGTATGCAAATGAGTCAAATCAATGACGTCAATGATGGAAAGTTTTGAAGAATTAGTACAGCCAGCATAGGAATATTTTGAATTAACTGCTATAAAAAGGATTCTATTTGCCCAACGTACTAATTATTTTTAAGCAAATATGAAATATGGACGGGGCACTTTCTTTCCGAATCTTATGTAATTTAATTTAATCATTTTTTGACAGAACTGTTGTTTATTAAGACTTCTCAGATCAGCCTCACATACCCGGGCTCATGTGTCTCGTGCGATTGTAAACAAAAAATGTAGATTGTGAAGTTACAAACATCGGCTAAATTATCTGATAGTGGTCATACACTATCCTGTTAAATGGTTATTATGTCGTAGTAAGAAGTTCCATCAGAAATTCTCCATGAGTGACATTCGCGCAAAGCGGTACCTTTTGGTATTTATTCGCCATCAGCGATGTCAATAATGATCAGCAATGTCAACATATAATATCATCAATAAACATTATATGATATACGCTCTTTCTCTGAAATCTTCCCAGTGATCATTATTCAAAACCGATCATCACATAACTAATTTATCCAATGACAAGTGAGGTTTCACAAGTGAAATCAGGACACCCATATCCATGTTTGATTTCTATTAAGCGTTCTCATTCTCATTATTTTCGAGAAATCCATCATCATTTTGGTTAAGAAAAATTCTACGGTCTGCTGGATCTATTTGACAGTTTTGCTTTAGCAAGATATTTTAACAAATTGATTGTTTCTGCACTGAATAAAAAACATTGTCCCGGGGATATTTGGATCGGGAGATACGCAGCGGGAAATATACATTTGATTATACTGTACATACATGTTTAACCCATACTTGGACGTATATTGGACGTATATTGGGAATATTTGAGAGTACAGGAAAATCCGCCCACGGCCAAGAAAACAAAACTGGACATGAATATTCTAAAATATATCCACGATTGAACAATGTGAACCAGATGACCAAGATTGGTATGAGATAAACATACTATCCTATAGTCGGTTCAGGATATTGGGATTATCCCTTGGCCAATATAATATATTTTCCCTCGGGACCTTCGGCCCTCGGGCAGATATATTATAATTGCCTCGGGATAATCCCAATATCCTGAACCTCACGTAGGATAATCTCTATATATGTCACGCTCCTCTAAGATATCAATTCTATATTCCAATGTTTTCAAGTATAATATTTTCAAGATACGATCTGATATGACTTGAATAAATAAATAGGAAGTAATCGTTTAGTTGATTGAATTATGGAAGTAGTGAAGTCAATGATTTAATGAATAAGAGCAAATGTTTTTAATTTGAACAGGTCATTCATCAAATGACACTGAAGATTAACTTAAAATAGATTGTCTATCTATATATTTTTATGCATGAGAGACATGTTATAATGTTGGTGAACTAATGATTATGATAATTTCACCTATTCACATCCAGTTCCTATCATGATTGAAAACTGACCGGGAGTAATTCTCCTCAAATTATTTACTCATTATGAACAGAAATTTAATATTTAAATCGCTTAGAAGGCGTAAATAAACGTCAATTTGACGTTCAATAAAAATCTGTCAATAATTTACTGATAACTTGCACATTTGAAGAGGTAAAACTTACAGCAATCAACCGAGGATTTACATGTTAACTCAATTGCATTTGTTTTTCGCGGGAAAAAGTTTCAGTCATTGACGTCACAGATTTTTAAGCAGCTCATTATAATATTCATGAGCTGACTTTGTGGAAAGGTGAATAGAAGAAATTCAAACTCAACAAAAACGTCAATGGGTACATGATTTAAGCCAAGATTCTAAATACCTCAGGTTTGCTAACACCCACGTAGACTATGAGCCAATTATTCATTGGACACTTGGGATAATGGATCCCTCCAGATTATGGGAATATGCCCAATTATTGTATCTCATTGTACTCTCTACTGAAGAAGAGCAGTATTGCCTAGCCTGTGCCAAAACAACAAACGACATTGTAAAACACTTCATTTTAGAATGTTCATCTCTAAGTGCAACAAGAGATATATTTTTTGAAAAGATTGTTAATCTTCTACCTGTTGAAGACTCGATTAACATCTTAAACTCTGACGATGATGTCTTAGTAGAATGTTTATTGGGTAGTCGCACAGATGTACTACAGAATTACGATTTTGCTGAATGGCAACAATTCATTAACCTTTGTTCCAATCAAATAAGCGCTATGCTTAAAGAATTCACGTTGTAAGCAAATATTACCTTGCCTTACTCATTTCGCCACATATTGTTATTTTGTATCTATTGTATCTAATGTATATATTGTAATTTAATAATTTGTATTTTGTATTAATTTGCTCTCCAAATTGGAGGAAATAAAGAACCATACCATACCATACCATGACGCTAGTACTTCATTCATCCTGCATCATATATACCTCTATGACATCGCCTTCTTCCATTTCTAGCTGATTTGGTGATTGATTATCATTCATTCTTTTTCCATCAAACAAAAATCGTAAACTGTTCAATGAAACGCCCTGTCGATCAGCGTATGCTTGTTTTAGTTTTTTCAGCTGTGTTGATTTTTTTATTTTAAAATGTACCTCGGAATTGTCAGCTCCAACGACTTTCAGGTCGATGTACTCAATTTCCTTTGCTTTGTCTCCTTCAGTCATTTTGTCACGCTGTAATAAAATCCGAGTACAATCCATTTAAAAGGTACCCGGCAGCTCCATCATGTGATATTCTATTGTGTTATTCGAGTGAGTCGAACAATTTGATGATTTTATTTCCTTTTGATTTTGGTTCCATGACCATCCATCTTGAATTTTGATTCTAAACTCAGGGAGCATGTTGTTTGCGCGCATCACCACGTGGTATGTAGATGAGACAGGAAACATCGCTACATAACAACGTTAATCATAAATTGGACTGTTACAAATGTTGGCTCAACTATAAGTTGAAAAATAGCTGATATTTCAACTATATCGTGTTATTAGGAGAAAGAACCAACCTTTTTATCGTGTAGGCGTTGGACCACGCGTTTCAGATCCTCAAAAAGCTGTTTGCCTGGTGCACTGCCTGCTTCATCTATGAACACAGTAAAGACCAAGTTGTTCTTTAATATGGGACATTTAAAACTTACATAAAATAGTACACCACACACAATTTTGTCGCCCACTTTAATGTGTTGTAGAAAAAAATCCAATAAGAATTTCCAAGATTTTGAAACAATTTGTATTGAATTACAAAAACAATTTGAATATTCTGGTCAATCCTATCCTATTAAACACCATTATAATCCACAGGTAAAAGCAAAACTGAACCAAGCAGGAGTGACTGTTATAATGTTACAATTTATGCTGTTACCTCTGAAAGGTCACATGTTAAATCCATGTGAATCATTTCATGTTGTCCAACAAAAGGTAAGCGGTCGGTGGCAACCTGTGAGTCATTGGACGAATGTTGCCTCCCTATCGTAGGCCAACGAAATTTTGAAGAGTGCAAGCTCACTGTTAATCATGCCTTAAATAACTTAAACAAAATACAAGCATTTTCTTGAGATTTTATGAGATGCGATTTTTTAATCGAGTGAGAAAGTAGGAAATGCTGTAGTGGTAGGATGGGATAGAAATCCACGCAGGGATGTCTTTTAATGCACTGATAAACCTTTTTAGACTTCAAGCCATATGATACATGCACCTACCCATGTATTGAAAGAATAATTAATAGGGGTCTTCACTCTTTAACAATAATAAAACCACCCTTAAAATATTCCTATTTAGGAGTTAAAACATCTCAAACACATAGTAACAATATCTTAAGAGAACAGATAAACCATATGTAATGCAATAAGTTTGTAATCAAAATGTAATCAAAATGATTTGAACTCTCTTTGAAACTGCAAAACTGGAAATTTTCGTCGAATTTTGTTAAAACATGAATATTTAAAAACTGCTTGTTTTTCGTCAATATTACTTAAATTTCCAAATAAAAAAATTTGAGTGTCACAAAATGTTTCAAGTTAAAGTATGCCAAATTTCATAAGCAAACTCTTTTTGGATATTTTTCTACAATAAATCAAAGTAGGCGACAAAATTGTGTGTGGGGTACTAAGAATTTTTGACTGATCAATATGAATGACATAACGTGCAGCAATTTTTGTAAACATAATGCGGTATTCTTACACTAAAATGAGTTCGGACTGTTGCATTCTTACAGGTATACATGAATCAAGCAAACTTAGTGCAGTAGAAGGAATCAATTGGTTGTTGGAATGTCGTTGAAAGGAATTTGCTTATAGAGAAAGGTGGGAATTTTAGCATGATTTAATCGTTCTTACACATTTAGACTTTCAAATAATAAAAAATATTCCTCAGTGATATTATTCCTCCCTGAGATTTCTGTTTACCTAATGATTTTTTCTGGGCCTCTAATGATTTTGAGGATGCATCTGAATGCTCTCCGAAGTTAAAATGTTTCTTCCAATATTCTAGCTGACCATATGCATCGCTCGGAATAGGACTGGGATCATTCGACAGGAACATACGAGCTGGAATGAACAGATTTCTAGCGAATTGAACATGGCAACACAAAAACGAAATAATCATTTCTATCAAATACTAGTAATCGCTCTTATATATATAAGTCGAAGTAAACTTATGTTAAATAGAGCGCTATTAAAATTCACTATGTACTGAATAGTTATACTAGAGATATCACATTTAGATAATAAGTTTTTGTCTAAATTGAGACCACAACCGCTACCCAACCGCCCATCCCCTAGCGCCAATTAAAGAAGTATATGGCGAGTTAAAAAAACATTCACGTAAGAAGATGATTTAGAGATAAAAATGTTTTATACTCTTACCAGCCAGACCAGAGTAAAATGGTTTGTCTAAATCTCTGTATGTTATATCACTCCAGTCAACACCCCACTGCGCTTCTATTAAGTCATCCTTCGTCTGAATGCGCGTGTGGATGTGTTTGCCTTTGTTATGTGTCTCTTCAAAAGCTCGTTCACTCACCTTTAAAAGAACATTCACTGTAATTTGATTATTTAAAAATGACCGTTCTGGCCCCCCGGCTAGCATACTTACCCACACAATGATCAAAAGTATATGTACAGGGTGTCAAATAAATGTGTTTTCTCCTTATCTTAAACATAAACCTGATATTCCAAATGTTATGTACCAAATTAAACCTCGTTGAGATGTTAGAGCACCTACTAAATTTGAATAATGGACTAAACAAAATGAAATAGTTACATCTGAAGCAAAAATTGAGGGATGGCAATTTAAACTTACATTTTGCTATATTTGATAACAGTTATGTTCGAATCAAAAGGGGACATGCCATTAAGAGGCCATTCTCTGACTTAGTCATTTTTTCAAAAGTGTGAAAATAAAAAAATTGATGAAAAGTTCTTAAAATATTCTGAATAACAAGTTGAATATATATATTTAATGATGGCACAAGCAAAGGTCTGAAAATTAACATGAAATGAAGGGTTTTGACAGATGCAAAAGATGGTAGATTTGTGATGAAGAAATAGAGGTTTTTGCAATGACAACACAATTACCTCGAAGTTATCCGTTATGAGAGGCTGAGGACTAAACTTGACATAATTTTTAATCTCAGATTATCAGTAGTATCTAACTTAAGCCGGACAGCCACTCAAAATGTATATGGAGCCCATAAGATTCATTTTTCTCAATTGAAGTCAGTATTTCTGTTTTTAGCTTCAGAGAATAGGAGGTACATGAACATGCTAATTGTTTACCTAGATCACAAGCCTTACCACAAATATAAAGTATATAGGAATAGAGTTGATATATCCTATACTTACCAAGGTTGCCTCTAAGAAAATTATCCAACTTAAAAATTGTATTGCTGTTGGTAAACAGAACAATATTAGTATTTACTATTTAGCTGATTCCATTTTCTGATTCTTGAAAAAGATTGTTTTTTTATGTAACGTAACAACACTCTCTGTAATTTGTATATAATTTGTTGATTTTAATAAAAAAATAATAAATAAAAAAAAAATGTGTGAAAACCTTAAGGTACAGCTGGAAAGTAACATTTTGGTAAAAAATTGCTATACCAGCACATGTTATTTTCTGGTACAAAATAAAGTATGAAGACATCTGTCAGTTGCCTTGCTTTTTTCAGGAAAGTTTCATTACATTGTCTTCTTTAAGAATATCTAGTAGGAGTTCAATGGGAACTCCAGGAAATTCTGATATTTCACACTTTCTATTTTTCCAAATTTTCTTTCAAAGTTTCCAGACAACACAGGAGCTACCATTGACCTGTTTCCAGGTTAACTAAAAGTAGACAGTGTAATGATACTTTCCTGAAAAAAGCAAGGAAATACACACATGCCTTCATACTTAATTTTGTACCAGAAAATAACATGTGCAGGTATAGCAATTTTTTACCAAAATGTTACTTTCCAGCTGAACCTTAAACTTCCCATTTTATTGGGGATGGAACTTGTGGACCATGTGTATTTCTAACTTCTTCACATGTGCATGGATCTAAAATTGTGGCAGGCATCTTGGATTTGTCATATATGTGGACATGGTTTTGGTTGTGATGAATTTGTTTCAAAATAACATTTCTTGTATACCTTCGATAAATGAGATAGGCATTTGAAATTAAATACAGATAGTATACTTGACATTTGATGCAGTAAACAGTAATACAATTCATTCTTACATAATAAGTGAGTCCAGACAAAAAGTTGTTATTGTGTTAGTTTAACTGGGCATAAATTACACTCATTGGCCTTGGTTTTCTTAATTGGCTTGGATAAAATGTTGTTCTGTTTATTCAGAAAAGGAGTATAGTTCAATATACAAGTTCACATTCGTTCCATCCTTGTAGAAATGAATCTCATATTATTTCATCTCAAATATAGAACACAAAAATATAATAAAAAACAAGTTTCTATTAATTGCAAAAGTTAGCTTCTATGTCATGACTGAGTTTGGGTTCCGCTTCTAGTGAAAAAATATCCATCTGGAAATATCGTATTGACCATTGCTATACACTCCATATTTAATCCTCCCAGTAAATAACATTGATATACAGTATACAAGTATATATGACATCGAGGATCTGGGGTTTGGGTAATGTGAGACATGAGGCCACTTGTCTTTTTGAATCTCATATTCAATATTCTTTCTTTAAACCCTCATATTTAATATTTTTGGAGTGGTAATTCAATTATGTACCTATTTTTTATTCTTTATCCTATAGTTGAACTCTGTTCCGCTCTGTTAGCTAGGTAACATGAAAACATATTTGTGATATTTTGCAAATGCGTGGAAAAAGTGATATCTGTGGAATACAGAAAATATTTCACAGATATCACCTTTTGGCAGGGATTTGAAAACTACCACCAATATGATGTGCTTTGTTACATAGTGATTTCATGACATCACGGGGATGAATGGATGTTGTTTTGATATGCTTTGTTTAGTTTTAGAGGTGAACTATGGGAAAAATAGAACATCCTATGAATTTTCGTGATATTGTGTTAATCCAACTCATTGATATCAATATCTGCGCTAATTCGCTATGCTAACTTGGCAAGATATTGATATCAACTCGGAGATAAAGATAAAATCATTTAAAATCATATAATATCCTATAAATATCCTTTACTGTGCCACAACTTTCTCATATGTTATATATTCTGGCACAGGCCATCATTTCTTTTCCTTGAATTCATGCTTTTGTTCCTCGTTTTAGAAATGGGAGGAAATCTTTGATTTTCCTTGTATTTAAGTTGCTTAAATGTTGCCCTGTGATGTTGATAAAAGTCAATAGTAATCCATTACAGTCACAGTTGAAATGTACCCATTGCTAGCCCAGAACCCACCAAAATAGCATTTGCATTTTGTCAATATTGCCCTATGTGCTTTTCCGTGAAAATAATTTTAATCGTATCTTTTCTTCAGTATTTCATATATTACATTTTAATATATTTAAATTGGTTAATATTTATATACTATTTACTTAGACAACAATAAATAAAGAATTTTTTGTAAAAACGCCAAAAATGGTATATGATCTTTAAATGACTGTTGTGTGAACATCAAAGGTCAAAATTCGCTGAAATTGTATTTTTATAAAGCACAAATGATTTTTCTTCAATATGATATACATTATTATCAGATATCTTTGGGGGCTAAAAAGGGCCTTTAATGACACCCGTCCTTTACTAGTTCTTAATTTAGAGTTCAGTATTACGAGTAGGGATCAAACAACACTCTCCGGAAAATCCACTTTTACATTTTCACCACAGGATCCGGTAAAAATCGCATCGTGAAAATCACTTACAGGTAGGTGTTAAAACTGCATCTAAATCAAGCTTTACAATGATCATCCTGTCTGCTTTTGGTCTATAAGTTGAATCACCTCTGCATCTACTGTTACAGTCGGTGCACAGATATTGCAAGCATGAAAAATCTTGACACAACAGCTATTAAAATTATCAAATGTTGACATAACTGTGGAGTAAGGTATGGGCCTGAAACTTGCTATTCTCTCTAAAAACTGAATACTCTCAAAGAAAAAATACGTTCGTTTGAAATTAAAGTGTCTCACATATTCGATCAAAATTTGCCATGCAAACATGTTAGTCTACTTTACTGGCTCCCCTTGCTGTAACAAGGAATACAAAACACATTAAAACGTAAACATAAACCAATTAGTCACTTCACTATGAAAGTTGGGGGTGTTAGCAAATGTGTATTTAATACATAAGAAGTAGATTCTTTGTTTTGCGTCCCCTTGCTTGTAAGATTTTGAGTAAATCAGAAAAAACAAACACATCCAAATAGCTAGCAATCACAAGGGTCTGGAAGTACCATCGCATTTCATTCAATCAGAATCAGACGAAATGGAAGATTTGATGTGCGTCAAAATTGACAGTGATATTGATTACTTTAGCATACATTGTGTATTTTCTCATTTTTACCCCATGAATAATAGCTATGTTTACATATATTGTATAAAAGGTATAGACTATGTGTTTGTAATCACTGCAAATTTGTATATGATCCCTTTTTATGCCCATAAAATGTATACATTTCCCAGCAAACAAGTTTGTGTTTTTTCTTGAGTTTGTGTTTGTTTTCCTTGTTCCCTTGCATGATTTGGATTATGCCAGGACGCAAAACAAAGAATCTACTTCTCATGGCCTTAGCAGAATACGCTGTGTGCATTGACTAACACAATATCAGTGGTCATTTACTGTGTCAACTTAGTAACCCTTGCATATCGTGCTCACTCAAGTATTGAAGATTTTTTTATGATCTAAATGTTTCTGGTTTATAAAAAAATGTGATATATTTTAGTTAGAAATACATAAATTAATATATTCATTCAAACAGCACTAGAATGCGGGAAGAAAGAGCAATGGTAAAAAAATGCAGACAGAATTTCCGTAAGGGTTTCAAACATTTCTGGACACAATCATACATGAATGTGTACTGTTATTTTTAGTGCTGTATTTATCGATATAATTTCACGTATTAAAATCATATTTTCCAGCAATGACTTCAAATTCGGAACCACACCCATATCACATTTTCTTCAATAACTCCAAACATGTGTAAACATCGACCATGTGCATATAAATTCAGATTTCACGAGCTCTTTTCTATTCGAGTACCTCATACACCCCTGCATGGATTTGAGTTGGATTCGCCTTTTATACGTGAGCCGGTACACATCGCAAACGCTGATTGGATAAAGATTGCGAGAATCTTTAAGAAGGATTTTATGAAAACTTACACTTACACAATGATGTTTGTATATATTCTTTTCAAAATATATGTGGGGCTCAAATTATTATTGTAAGTTTACAGTAAATCCTGTCTTAGTGGACACCTCTCTCGTAAAGAGGTAAAACCTGTTGATTTAGGCCATTAAATAGTGCATTGAAAGTTAAGGGGAGAGTCTAAAGAATATTTACATGCTTTGAGGCAAAGTATAAAATAATTACAAATAATAATTAACAAATCAAGTTGTTAACAATCTAGAGGCAAACTAGTAGATTTTTGACAGTAAATAACGGTTAGAACGAGCTTTTTCTTCTAAACTTTCACCAAATTTCTTTGCATTAATATTAGCATGTACGTCTATTAGTCTATATGTATATTAGTATTGAAAGTCAATAAAGGTGTTTTAAATCTTACTCACATTTTTCTTAGGCAAATTAAAAATAGCGACGAGTAAACGTTTTAAATATTCCAAAATTAAAATAGCGAACAGGCAAACTTTTAAAATTAAACTTTTCTCTCTACATGCCTTCTTGCCCCTTGAAAGTATCAAGTAAAGTACATGTATCTGTAATGATTTCATAATTCAACATTGACAAGTATCTCTTAATACGTTTAATTAATGATAATCATTTAGATAGTATCACTCAGACGACTTCTTTCACTGTCCTCATCCACTGTGATGATTTGGTGGAAATATATAATGTTTATGGAGTTGTTAGACACGTCCAAATGGTTTAACCTCGATGTGTTCTACAATTCAGAATGGTTCCAATAACAAGTCAATATTATTAACTGGGATATTTTGGTCACGTCCAAATGGTTAAATTCAAAAAAGATTCTTTCGACAATTGCTACTTATTTAGACTCTTTTAAATCGTGATTTTCATTCACAATATGGCTACTTTCATTATGAATCGGCGAAAATAGGTGAAAACACTGACAGAATCGCTCACTTCCCGAAATAACAAACTATAGCAAACGGTTCGTAGGAGCAACGCGTTTGTGGGTGCCTGAAGTTAGGATATATAGTATGGTACAGGGTGTCCAAAAAAACAGGACCGTAAGAAAGTTGAATAACTTGGTCAATTTTGCATATTTTGCCTTGAAATTTAAGAATTATTTAGTTCATTCAATGTGAATTTTGTTGTGAAAGTTTGGTAATAATCTACCAATTGAGACAAAAACTACAGCTCCTTACAAAACATGCCCTAAATGTGCAAATCTCATCTCTATGCACGATTCAATCCGGCGAACAAAGCTGTTGATGATCCTTCTATACACACATGTCTATCTGAATGGACAAGTTTGTTCCAAGAACAATTGCTACTGGGGCTTACATCCTCCTGATGAAGTGTTACAGCACCCATTGCATTCTGAACAATGCACTCCCTGGGTGGCAATGAGGAAACATGGAATCATCAGTCCCTTTTGGTTCGAAGGTGACTGGGGACTTGCTATCACCATGAACAAGGACCAGTAAGTTCTCACCAAGTTTTGGAGGTCAGTAAGCATCAGAAGGGACATCAAAGGAGATAATTAAGCAGTGGTTTCAACAAGCCAATACCACCCCAACACTGCAAATGATATGCTGAAATGGTTTAGGCAGTGCTTTGGTGGTCAGCTCATCAGTTGCAGAACGCAAACCATATGGGCAGCTCATTCGCCTGATCTAAATCCCCCAAATTTTTATCTCTGAGGATTTCTCAAAGCCAGTGTGTATACTGACAGGCCCCTAACAATCTTAAGAGGGCAATAACTACCCCAATATTTACCATCCACATTAATGTGTATAGGTAAGGGTCATTAACAACTTTGTTCGCAGGATTCGTTTGTGCATAGAGAGGAGAAGTGCCCACTTTGAGCATGTTTTGTAAAGGACTGTAGTTTTTGACACAATAAACAGATTATCATCAAACTTTCAGAACAAAATTCACATTGAATGAACTAAATAATTCTTAAATTTCAAGGCAAAATATGCAAAATTGACCGAGTTATTCAACTTTCTTACGGTCCTGTTTTTTTTGGACACCCTGCCAATATTTTTACATAGAGTCAAGTGAAAGCAATTTCATAACCAAATTTACAAACATACCTCTACACTTTTCCATAAATCGAGTCCAAATGGTTGTGTAAAACAAGTCCGGGACAATTTACGTTGGGTAGTATTGGATTTGAAATATTTAGTCGCAAAAGTAATTGAGTATATTTATAATTCAAACATGACCACGCCCTGTGATCGGAAAACAAGAACGGAGAGGGGAGGTAACCAATTTCTACTAGCAAATTGAACAAATATGCAAGATTTATTTTTCACGAGAAAATTTACGAATAAATCGCTAAATGCAATTGAATATGCATGGTATGGTGAAATCTGTTAGTTAGCAACCACATAACTATGATCAAAAGATAGACAGGACAGAAACTATGCTCTGCTATTAAAATTGCTCAGCAGAACATTTAACCGTATCGCTGTTACTATGACAATCACTGTTTTGCTGTTATTCATTATATCTCAATATTTCTTCAGGGTAGTTAGACAAATATCAGAATCACGACAAGACACAAAAGTTTGAGAGCAAAATTAGCTTTACTTACTGAAACCTAAGTTTTCAAAGGAACATAAATTATAACTCAACAACCCTATTTAGTATTTCTAGTTCTTTATCACGTTAATAGACACAAATAGACAGAGGGTTTCGGAGGGTGAACAACATACTTACCTTCCACAAACCACCAGTGCCGGGCGTTGAACTCTCACCAAATTTCGTCTCTAGTCTCGCAATCAACCTCAGCAAACCGTGATCATCATCGAATATCTGCGAGTTTTCAATCTTGTCAGCTACCTCGTTTATAACGTCTTCTCCCCTGGCAGATCTTTCGAGCAACCTTGAGTTGGCATTAAGTGGGGTAGCTTGAATGAGAAAATTCTCTACATTTGAATATGAGTGCACACGCACAATTTTCAAGTTCGATGGCATCATCAGTACAAAAACCCACCAACTACTATACAGAATTGAAATGGTACCATGCAGGAACTTTAGTATTTGAAAACCCAATACGTTTTTCCAAAATATGAGTTATTCAAATGTATTTGCTTTGTTTTCGCTACTTCCTGTTTTAGGTAAGCCAATGCTCATCTAATGGTGGCCCAATAAGAGATTGAGAGTAAAACAATGAATGATATAATTGATTAAACAAATATCTCATTCTATAATAACCGACACGGGGGTCCGTTTTTGAAACCATCGTAAGTTACGATCGTACGAGAAACGAACCCCAGGTAAGCAAATATTACTCACATTTTTGAAAAACATATTGGGCTTTTGGGAATATTGCTTGTGAATGATGCACATGTATTCACCTCAATAGAATGTATTAAATAATTCCATATTTTTCGTATTGCTTTTGAAATCTCACTAAGTCTCGTTTTTCGTGTGATTTTAAGAGATTTGCATATTAGACCTCTAATGACTTACTTTGCCTTGTTTTATATGGCTTATTTGAATTCGGTAAACGGTTTTCAACAAGAATAACTTTGATTTATACAGTTAAGTAGTCTTGCTCAAAGACTGTATCCACCCCCCCCCCCCCGTCACCTTCACTCTCTTTACCTGGCAACATACAGAGAGAAGGATAAAGGGGGGGGGGGGAGTACAGGGTCTTTTAAGCAAGACTAACAGTTAAGCTATTCAAATCATTCGCGTGACTTTTTAAAAAAAGCTTCATTGATGCAATGTTTAAAATCTCTAAAAACTTGGTTTATTAGTTTAAGAACCCAAATTTTGATGATAAATCACAATAAGTACATGTACAGGGTGTCCCGAAAGTATGCCCCCCCCCCCCTAGGCAGACATATTCCTCCTAGTGTCCTCATAGTATGTGTCATATATCATTTTAAAGCTTGTCCAAAGTTACATTGATTTGCCAAGTATCATGGTTTAACTCCCAAATGGGAAAAAGTTACAGTCATTTTAAAAGTTAGTGTTTTGTCAAAATAAAGTTCAATTTTACACCACATTACTAGTCAATGTGTCCCCCTTGGCCATGTTAACATCGGCAATTATTTTCCGATATGTCCTTAAAAGCCCTTCAAATAGGAGTGTGGAATTTTATAACCCTCTTAAAACCTGTTAAGGGACTTCAGAAGAGTGTCCTTAGAGTTTCTACCCTCACCGTTCTCTTTTTCCAACGCAATATCCATCCGACACGAAAAGAATAGCTGCTGTAAAGATGGCCCAGGAGGACACATAGACTAGTGATTTGGCGTAAAATTGAACTTAATTTTGACCAAACACTAAATTTTGAAATGCCTATAATTTTTTCACATTTGAGAGTTGAACCATGATACTTGGTGAATCAATGTAACTTTGGATAAGCTTTAAAATGATATATGACACTTACTATGACGACACTGGTATATGTCTGCCTAGGGGGGGCATACTTTCGGGACACCCTGTATGTTAAAAGGGCCTCACGTGATATATCAATCAAGTTTTAAACAGATTCAACAAACACTTTTTTTTAATTATGAATAAAGTCAGTTTTCGAAGATCTTAAGATGAAAGTCAATGGAAGTCTGGCCCAAGAAAAAATCTGAATAAAAGATGGCTGCGCTGGTTTTCACTCATTTTAAGCTATTTATAAACTATCTTATTGCTCTTTACCTGGGCCGTTTCGTCTAGCTAAATCAGCTGCAAGTCCTGCTAGTATTTCCTTATATTTTCGAGTTTCTGAAAAATAAAGAAATATCAGGTTATTATGTGTGGTGTGTTGGCTAACAAAATACTGTAGTACTGTAGCAAAACAGTCATTCTTGTGTCCATCCTTGGGTGCGTTCATTTGCTTGTTTGTTATTTCCACTGCATCAAATGTGGAATTTCTAGTAATTTCTAGACGTGCTTAGTCGGTCTAGGAACTCCGTGTATCTAGAGATTTCTAGGCGTACTTAGACGTGCTTAGAGCTGGCGTGGACAGAGCGTGACTAGAGTCTAGAAATCTCTAAGCACGCCGTGGTTAGACACAAGACAAAATTAGTCGTTATTAAATTGCCATGTGAGATTTTGCGCTACATTTAAATTTACGTTGTTAACTTGTTATAAATTAAGAGGGTCTGTTTAAATGAGTATTTCCACTAATCAACACCCATTATTTCGCATTGACAAGTACCAGGGCCGAATCCAGCATTTGCTAAGGGGATGACTTTTGAATTATTCCAGGGGTGAGGTCACATTTGATATTTGCTCAAAAATTACACGAAAACTGCTCAAAATGGTGAAAGAATTATTGGCCAGGGGATACAGTATTATTTTAAACTAGACATCTCTGTCGGCGAGGGGGGCTAACTTATTCCAGGGGTGGGGTCACATTTGATATTTGTTCAAAATCACACGAAAACTGCTCAAAATGGTGAAAGAATAATTGGCCGGTGGATGCAGTATTATTTTAAACAATACATTACTGTCGGCGAAGGGGAGGGGGGGGGCTAACATATAGTTGAAATTACAGAATACGCTACCTTAATTTTTGATAATCTATAAAAATAATCTTGTCATAAACAACTACTGATTTATATATGTGAACGGATATTGTAAATTTGGTTTAAAAAGAAACTGAATATAGGGTAAAAATGAGGGAGACACAGACGTCGGAAGAGTGGGGATAAAATCTAATCAACACTAAGCTGAGACAGAATGAGAATAATATGTTTGGACTCGCAAGATTTTCATAAACATATTTGTTGATTGCTCGCGAAAACAAAAACAAATTTCAGGGTTCATTGGCATAACACAATATTTGTAAAATGGGGGAGTGCATTTTCCCAGGATTTAAAACAATGCTTTACTTTAAACGTCGCCCCTCATACTAGCATACGCTTTAACTATCAGATTCAGGAGCACCCTGCCCTTGATATATTAATACATAGTTTTCTTGTACCCCTTTTTTCAAAAAGACAACGAACTAAATACATAGAAATAATGATCTTGGAACTGATTTCTTTGATCTGTAATCAATCTAGATCACACAATAACTAATTAACTGTTTGATTGCGTTTTTGCTTCTTCAAAGACGGGATATCCCTAAATTACCTTGATTACAGCATGGGCTTTCAAGTGAGTCCATGATTGCAGTCTACATGGTCTATAGGCTATTTTTAATTCCTCGTTATTTTAGTTGTGTATCTCTGAATCCCGGTGTAACAGGAGTATAAGTCCCCTTGGAGAATAAGTCCGTAGGACTTGTATTTCTAGGAACGTAGGTCCGTAGGACCTATGTTCCTAGGACCGGAGGTCCTACGGACCTCCGGTCCTAGTATACGTTGTCCTAGTCGGACGTATATTCCAAGCTATGATATATATGAAAAATTACTACGGACGTATTTTCCTGACGGACTTGGATTCCTGCTACAGCAGTGACAGAAATTTAGGTCCATGAAACTCAATATTGATCATATAATTAATCTGTACATAAATATACCAAGAAAAACGCACTTGACCAGCCATCCATGATAGCACACTAAGTAGAGCGTTAGGTACTAACAGATATTTGTGACCTAGTAAGAAGAAGAACCCTTGTTCGACTCCCCTTGGCTTCCTATTTCTTTTTTCTTTTTTTTCATTTAATTTTATTTTGGGAAGGTCGGACTTATTTTAAGCTTTGACATTAACCACATTGATAACGTATAGTGACAAAATATACCGTCGTGCACTTTAGATGTACGGTGTCACTATTAACTGATTTGAAATAAAATCTATGATAGGTTTGATGTACGTTTAAAGAAAATTTAATCTGAGGAAACAAAAGGTTTTTATTTCTAATTTCGTGCGTAATCGCTTCGATAGACTATTAGCTCTCTGATCTATACGTTGAAAGATTTTCGAGCAGTGCTTGATTTTTTTCATAGTAAATCTACCCACAAAATTTATCGGTTAGAAAACGTTTTTTTCGGAGGGATATAGGGAACGCCTCCGTACGTCCTTTCATCCATCCGTCCGTCCGTCGGGTTTTGCTTCAAAGCAGTTAATAGTGACACCGTACATCTAAAGTGCAATAACTCAAATACCGTTGGCCCGATTTTGTTGATATTTTGTACACATATACCCTATGGGGGTAGAAATTCTGCTAGAAAGCCAATTTTAAAAATGGCCGCTCATTTAAAAAAGGCGGCCATTTTAGTGCCGGTTTTACAGTAATTTAGGTAAAACTGTAATAGCAATATGTTTTAGATTTAGAAAATATATAGGATATTAATAAAGATAGAAATGTAGATATCGAAGAAGCACATTGCAGCCATCTTGGAAAATGGCGGCCTTTACACGCTATTTTATTATTCTTAATGTAACTTACAAAGTAGTTGAGCGATTTCTTTTCATATTTGGTATGTGAATACTATAAGCATGGTACATTTTCTAAAGACAATTTTGGTAGAAGGCGGCCATTTCGTAAAAGGCCGCCATTTAAACGTTTTTTACTATAACTCGAAAGGTGGTGGAGCAATCTTTTCATATTTGATATGTGAATACTATAAGTATGGCACACTGTCTAATAACACTTTGGGGAGTAGGCGGCCATTTTGAAAAATGGCCACCATTTTACGTGTGTTATTTTACCTTTTTCACTATAACTCAAGAAGTAATGAGGCGATTTTGTTCATATTCGATACGTGATTACTTATAAGCATAGCACACTGTCTTATGACATTTTGGCAAGTAGACGGCCACTTTGAAAAATGGCTGCCATTGACGTTTGCGAAGGGTGAGTATGAATTTCTGGACTGTTGGCTCTATTATCTATTTTTGCAAGTTATATCCTTTCCTAGTGATGTTTCACCAAAATAACCTAAAATAGGAACACACCATGAAGATTTCATTGTTCTATGACATTATTATCCTATTATATTTGTTACCGTGACAACCGCTAACCCAACAAGGTGTAGCTCAGAAAAATACGGGACATTGTATTCATTGCTGAATATGTGACATGTAATAGGGTGTATTATTTCATTAAGTGTATTCATTAATGTTCATAGTAGCTGTCACTATTCTCCCATCAATTTTAATCCTTCGAGGTAGTTACCAGCTTTTTGTAAGCATTTGTCATGCCTTTTCACCCAGTCCTGAAAGATATAATAACGTCTTTGCCATTGTGTGAAAAATTCACTTAGAAAGGAAAAGAAATTTAAAAAATAGAGCCAATGGTACAGAAATTCCTGATCACCCCTCGTACGTGTGTGCAATTTTGTTGAAAGTTTATATGTGCTTTCTTAGAAGCACATTACACTTTCTGATGATAATTTGGCAATAATGAGTAACCATGTTGAAAATTGTGGCAATTTTGTGTGTTATTTTACGATTTGCTGTTCGATTGGATTTGCTGCGCTTTGGCGTTGCTGTTGCATGTCTTGTTTCAGATCCATTCAGGTTTTTAATCAGTAACAAGTTGTAATTGAACATGTTCAACGAACATATTCAAGTATCCCAAATACAGGTGTTGATAAAGATAAGGTAAATGTAATTTCTGACCTCTTGTTGAGTGCTATTTTATTTTATGAAATTGTTGGTGCGGTGGTCAAAATGTGACCAATGGGTCTTAGATTCAACATCTTGATCATTTGGCGTTTTTTCGTTTGCGTTCTGTTAAGATTATAATTTTATGAATTTTTATAGTCTTAAGAAGTTGATAGAGAGATTGCAATACTAGCTACCCAACTAGTCGAAGGTAACTTTTAAAATCCCGTTTATGCGTTTGTATATCTTGAAAGTGCAGAGGTTCAATAGTGCAATCAGGCAAAAGTAATACTGTAATTGTTCAGTTTCAGTTTTAAAAGCATCTGACCCCCTGCCGATTAGTGTTATAAAAAATAGGTTGTCTGCAATAGAGTTGTCTGTGAATTAAGATGTGTAAGTTCAATGGGACAACGAACATTGATTTGACAACGTACACTTGTTAATTTTTTTAGATTGTAGCAAAAAAAGTAAATTCTTGTTAAATATTCAATCGACCTAAATTGTGTAGTTTAGAGAAACATATTCTCATAAAAATAATCGACACTTTTGGGCGTCAGGGGAAAAATTATAAATTTTCAACCGAGAAATTTTGTGGGTAGATTTACTGCGAAAAAAGAGAATTTTTAACGTAATCAGAATGTTTAATTAAAAGTCTTTCAAAGCGAATACACAAGAAATTAAAAATGAAATCCTTTATTTATTCCTCAGATTAGATTTTTAAGACATACAACAAACCTGTAGTTTTTGTTTCAAATCAGTAATAGTGACACAGTTCATCTAAAGTGTACTGTTTTTGTACATGCAGTTAACCAATTCAAATTGCACTGTCATATTTTGCCCGTGAATAAAAAATGACATGCAATATTTATGTGTTGGATGTTTTATTGTTAATTTTATGAAAACGTGAATTGAAAGGTTGACATATTAAGGTACAACAGTTTACATGGAATTAAATTTCTGACAGGCATCCAGGAATACAAGTCCGCCTCGGACTACTCATCCTAGGCATAGGACATACAGTCCTAAGGAAAATATGTCCGACGGACTTATTTTCCTAGGTATGCAAGTCCCTGGACTAATTTTCCTAGGACTTAGTGTCCGACGGACCTGCATTCCTAGGAAAATAAGTCCATCGGACATAATTTAGCGTGGACATGTGAAACTGTCACACCGGCTCTGATTATCATATACAATTTGCTTTAACCAATTTTACCCGTTTTTTTTAA